TTGCAACCTCCTGTGGTGGAAGCAAGAGTTGCTTGCAGTTTCTCAGTTCTCCCGGGGCCCCTGCTGGCCAACGGGAAGCTGACTGTGCACTCCTCACTCGCTAATGGTCCTTGGTCTTGGGTTGTGGTTGTGCTCTGGATGCCTCATTGGCTGCATAGTTCTCGCCAGGCCCAGGTGAAGGAAATACCCGGGGGCTTCCCCACAGATCTGTGCTGAGCGTGGCTTCCACTCCATCACACCCTGTACTTTTTTCACACTTCCCCTCCCTCAAGTCTTCCCTGTTAAAGCCAAGCAGGGACACTGTGTTCCAAGCTCATTAGTCAAGAATGTGACCGGACTGCCCCTGAAGAGGGTTTTCTCTGGCACGGTCTCTTTCTAACCATGCAAGTAAATCTGAAAAACAGCCTGTCTTTTCATGGAACCCACTCGGGATTACAGATTTTGTTTTGCCCCTTGGGGGCTAGACACTAGATAGATGAACCCTTAGGACCCCAGTGAACTCACAAAATGCCCTTATTAGCTATTTTGATGACAGGAGAATTGGGGCTCTGGAGTAGTTTTTCCTGCATTCATTTCTTCAGATGGTTCACAATTAGGACTCAGCCTGCTAGAGACAATCCCCCTTCTAGTGCAGTATGATGGAGGAAGGAAACATCCCTGCCTGCTGTAGAAAGCTCTGGAAAAGATAGCAGTTAAGAGTCCTCACAGATACTGAGCGAGGACATATTTGTGTGTGTGTGTGTGTGTGTGTGTGTGTGTGGTCATGCATGTGCATGTGTGCACGTGGTACTAAAACTTGATCCCAGGGCCTCACATCTCCCATTGGGTTTATGTCCAGGAGTCTAAGGCAAGAGGATGAGAAGCTCAAGGTCTGAAGAGTTCAAGTCCAGTCTGGGCAGTTTGATAAGATTCCGTCTCAAAAATAAAATAATAGAAAAGAATTTGGTGCACAATTAAGTGGTAAAACAACCAGCTAGTATGTGCATCCTGAGTGTAATTCCTGGGTGTACACCCCACTACCACACACACACACACACACACACACACACACACACACACACACACTATTGCAGAAGGTAAGCGTCTTGCCGTTCCCAGCTAGCAGAGACTGACTTAGGTAGGGGCAGAGCAGAACCCGATTTCTGCTTCCTGCCAATGATTAGTTTTGCTTTGACTAAAGGAGAACAAGCCTTTTCCTCTGAGCATTTCTAGGCACAATGGCAAAGTTGTCAACAAAGCAACCAGCGTGCAAAGAGTGTGCTGTGTTGAAGTGTCAAGGGAGTGATCACTCGCTCGTGTTCTGCCTCCTATTGAAAAGACCGGGCTTTGTGAGTGGTTGAAAGGCCGGTTGATAAATGGATGAAGCAAGGGAAGCTGGCATGAGGGTCTAAAACTAGGCATGTTAGGAACAATGGTTTAGGCTCCAAACAAAAGCAAGGATAACTAATCCAAAAAGTTCTGATATCTCTGTTTAGGTATCCAGGGAAATGTTTTGGAAGAGTTCTCTGTTGGCTCTACTCAGAGGGGCTCAGTTAATAAAGTACTTACCACTAAAACATTTGACCTTGAGTTTGGATCTCTAGCCCTCCTGTAAAAAGCTAGGTATGGCAGGATGTCTGTAGTCTTAATTCTGGGGAGTCAGAGACAAGAGGATCCTAAGGGTTCGTTGGCTTCTCAGTACAGCTACTTGCCAAGCACCAGGTTCAGTGAGAAACTCTGCTTCAAAAAGAGGTTAGAAGACACGGAAGGTTGACCTCTGACTGCCACATGAGTAGAACACATGTCTACCCATGTCACCCTCCTCCCCGATACACAGACTTCTCTCAAAAGATCTGAGATTTCCCAGCCTAAACAGGCTATGCAGCAGCCCTCGGCAAGGAGGCCTGAGAAGGTCCCTGAGGTGGTAACCAGGGCTGAGAGCCTGTGATTTCCACAGTTTCTCAAATCAGTTTCTTTAGCTTTGTCCACATTGTGAGCTACTGCGCGCTACTCAAACTCCTGACTCTCAACGGTTATCTGTTTCCGCCACAGACCCCACCTCATCCTTATTTTAGGATTAGAACTGGCTGGGCAAAGAACAAACTGCGGAACCTGCCCTGGCTCTTATTTGGCTTTCTGTGTTTTCCTTAGAGATTGCTAATGTCTTCCCTCCACAGACTTCTCTCAGCTCCGTGCCTTAGAAACGTGAGTGAGAGACGCGTCGTCTCCCATAGCTTCTTCCTTTTCCACATGAGGATCAAATCAAAGAAAGCTGTAGCGCTCATTCGATGTCACCAAACTCAGAGATGACTTGTGTCCTGTCCCTAATACCCAAGGCCTTCTGGCCATTTCCTTGTTGTATCGTTCTATAGTAGGAAAAAGGAGTTGGCATATTCAAGGGTACTCACCCCAGTATGCACTGCCTGAGGGCATTCTCAGCAGTTTGGAGGTGGCCAACAGTAACAGTCATTTCTTCACACTGAGAACTAAATAAACACTCAGGGGGAACACAAAAATTAATCATTTTTAGAATGTATGGGTCTAAAATAGGCCTATAATTCTGATATACTCTATTTAGAAAATCCTAAAGGACCATAACCCATAATAAATGCTTTACAGTAAGCTGAGGAAGAGGAAGAGAGAGCAGACTCCAGGTCACATGAGAATTAAGGTGCCGAGGGCCCACTCTTTCACCCCAGTTTCCCAGCCTGCAGTTGCTCCACACCCTTGCTCATCTGCAGTGTCATCGAAAACAGTGGGTCTGATGACATTCCCTTTCTCCGTTTGGGGTCTCTTAGAAATTGGATAAATCCTCAACTTGACCAGACCTACAGTCGCAACTGCTCCAGAGGCTGAGACAGGAACTTAGGATCCTCCTGCCTCAGCTCTTGTCTAGTGGAAATAGGGTCAACGGTAGATGCTCCGCTCAAACAGGTTGGCTTTAAGAGAGTGTCCGCACCTGGAGCTGAAGGAAGTCTCAGGGTTTAATACATTTCCCTCTACTAGAACAGTTTTCAGATAAGGCTGCGGGTCTTTCCACCACCAGCTGCGACCTTCAAGATTCCTTCACCCTCCTTCTCCTCTTCTCCTTTCACTCCTTATTGTAGCCCAGGCTAGCTTTGACTTTGCTCTGTAGTCAAGGATGGCCTTGAACTTCTGATCTTCCCGTTTCCTGTCTCCACCTTTCTACTATTAAGATTACAGGTATGTGCTCCATATCTAGTTTATGTACTGGGCTCTAATCCTGTTTTTTGTGGAAGTTAAGTAAACTGCTCAACAAACTGAGCGCAATGCCCTGCTTTTGGTTAGTTCTTACGGTTTTGTCATTTTAGTGGTCCATGTGCCAGTAGGCTTTATCTCTGTCCCGTGCCAATGATTGATTTCACATTGAATAAGGAACTTGCCCTCTGAGCGTTTCTGACATGGCATACAGTCCATTCACTACTCCAGGGAGCCATCTTTGTTTGCAGGGGTTTGTTTTAGCTCTTTATTTTCATCTAGACCCGGGCTGAGGCGTAGCACATATGTAGAACCTTGCTTTCTTTCTAAGTGTCATACAGCATTAGTACTGAGGTGTGGCGTCTTGTAACTTTCACAGACAGAAGGGATGCGGTTAGGCCCAGTTTGATTCTTTCGCATGTTGGTATCTAGTTTTTCTAGACATAGTTGTTAAGGAGACTAGTTTTCTCTCCCGAGTGATGCCTGCATCCTTCTCAGAAACCATTGGACTCTGCATGATGCTGCTGACTTTTAATTCCATTGGTCTGTGTTTGTGTGCCTTTAAGCAGCCATCATAGCTTTTGAGTGCTGTAACTTCATAGCAAAATTTTACATCAAAGAATACGTAATATTCAACCCGATTCTTTTGAAATAATATTTTGGCTGCTCAGAGTCTCTCAAGATTACATATGAAATTTCAGGAAGGATTTTCTTTTCTATGTCTGCCGAAATTAAATTGAATCTGTAGATGGCTGTCAAGAGTATGGACACCTCAACAATATGAAACCTTCAAATTTTAGAGCATAGGATGCTTGTGCATTTTTAATTAAGAAAAGAGTTACGTTCGCTTTTATTTATGTCTGTGTTGGGGGGTGATTTGTATGTGCACCCACAGACTCCAGAAGATGTCAGATACCTTGGGACTGCTATACAGGCTATTGTGAGCCACCTGACACGGGTGCTGGGAACCAAACTTGGGTCCTGTGGAAGAACACTTAAGAACTCTTAACCACCGAGGAATCTCGTCAGTTCCACTTGTGTCTTTAGTTTAAAAACTACTTGGTTTACATTTATTTGTTTGTTTGTTTATGTGTTTACTGTGTGCACCCATGTATGTGCTTTGTGCTATTGCAAACTCAATTATTCTCCAGTCTTACCCTTAATGTTTATTTATTATGTATATGTATCAATTAATTACATAGTTGGGGTTGCTGAAGCACAGGGATGTCAAGTTACTATGCCCATAGAAGTAGCATGGACATTACCTAATTGTGATGCTAGGCTCAAAACCCCGCAGACCAGGTCTTCACCTCCTTGCTGCTGCCACTGCTCAGGGCCTGGCCCCTAGGGTTGTAGGATGGTAAATTTTGATAAATTTGTGGTGGGAAATTCAGGATTATTGTAGTTTCTGCCCACTTCTCCTTGCCCCCCCCTTTTTTTTCACTTTTTCCAATTTTTTTCACTTGTGTTCTTTTATGCTAGGAGACAAGTTCCACGTGACAGACCTTCAGTGTTCACTCTTCAGAACTTGGATGCTCTGTAGAGCTGATCCTTCCTTTAGGAATTAGACTGTAAATAGTGCCTGTTAAATCGCTTCCACTATTCCCCCTCCCTTCCACCTCTCTCTGTCTATCTGTCTCTCATTTTATTTCCAGTGTCCTAGAGTCATTTGCATAAATAATTGAAAACTGGCTTACATACATAGCAGTAAAAATTTTAACCTGTGCTTTGCAGTAGTAGCGTCGGCCTTTTCTTTATGATGAGCATGTCTGGATGGTACAAAGATCCCTTTGTCTCCGCAGCCTCAATAAACCAATGGTCTGAACAGAGACTTGGTTTGTCTCAGGCAGAAGAGCAGCAGCCTCCTGTGGGAGCCTGACAGAAGTTTAACAATCGCTCGTGAGATGCGTTATCAACATCTTGGAAAGGTATATGGAAGCGTTTTAATGTGCCACTTTTTTTTATTTCAATGACTTAATGGAGAATCTCTAAATAGATATGGGAAAAAATACGAGAAAAAATGTTTGTGCCAGGTGTGTGTGAGATCAGGGGCACAAAACAGCCATTCTAGTGTTTGGAAGGCTGAGATTGTGAGTTTGAACCTGGTTTGAAGCACACAGACACACAGACACACACACACACAGAGAAATGTTAGAGAGAGGGGTTTCAAATATTCTGTAATATTCTCCTTATGCAAACAAATGAAAATAATTGAAGAAAAAAGTCATCTCTCCTCCAGTTAGTGACTTAATGACAGAATTCTACTGATCATTCCTCTTAAATATCCACTATTCTTTCCTTCTCTGGCCCCACTGTACTGTCTCCTATCAGCACCAACAGAGACAGAGACGCAGGAGGACCCTTTATCACAGCAACAGTACAGGACCTAGGGTTGCTGCCACAGATCGTAGTAATTTGTAGAATTCCTTCCGTGAAGGAAATTAGGTCTTTGGTTAGTATGAGTTATATGTAAGGGTTTTGTTGCTGTGGTTTCATTTGTCTTTTTAGACAGAGTTTCTCTACGTAGCTCTGGTTATCCCAGAACTTGATATGTAGACCAGGTTGGCCTCGAACTCACAGAGATCTGCTGGCCTCTTTTTCCTTAACGCTGGGATTAAAGCCGTGCACAACCACTACCTGGCAATACGTCAGTTTTTAAACCATTGTTCTGACTTTGATTGTCATGGTTCTTATGTATTTTTTTCACGTGTGTGAATGTTGTATGTTTTCTTATTTAATGCAGCCTTTGATTTATGCAGTGCTGTGTCTCATCCTAATAAAACATACACACACATACATGTATGCTTCTTTCTTCTAGTATTTTATTGTGTTATTTCCAAACACATATGTATGAACCTGTGATTTATTTTAATGTAAGATATAAAGATATAGAAAGGGTTTTTTTTCCAGAGCCTTGAAAATCACCCTGGCACCATTTTTAGGAGTTCATTTTGAAGTGCTCACTCGATCATACATTGAGTGTGGCTATCTCCTTGGGTTTATTTCTGGACATTCTATTATGGTCTGCTCATTTGTCTGTTGCTGTAGCAGTCCTCAGTGATTTAATGCTTGTCATGACGAATCTTGATTGCAGCACTCTGATGCTCTGGTTTAACGTCTGTTTAAACCATATGACGAATGATGAATCAGAACTTGTAGCAGTGAGAAAGTTACAGGCTAGCTGGTCCAAAGTAAACCATGAAATGTCTATAAAATCAAGTTAGCAGTGTTTCTGCTTCCCAGCTGAGTAGAGTAGCTTTCTGTAGGCTAACGCTTTCACAGAAACACAAATGTGGGTAAATCTCAAAAGCTTCCCTTTTCTAGCGGTACACACCAGTTATTTTCTTCCTTCCAGTGATAAGCTACCTGGTGAAGATAGCTCAAGGAAGAACAGCTTCTTTTGGTCCATGGTTACAGATCGTCTCAGTTGGGAAATCATGGCAGCGAGCGTGGCTCCAGTTGTGGTGGTAGGAATACAAGCAGCTGGTCACACTCTGTCCTCAGTGAGGAAAAAGAAAGGATTGGTTCCAGTGTTTCACTTGATTTTGGTCCTGATGCAGTCTGGGGCCACAGTACATGGGATGATGCCACTCGTCATAAGGGTGGGTCTTCCCTTCACAGTTAAACCTTTTTGGAAGACACTGTGCCCAGAGCATAGGTGATCCTCTATGATGTCAATCAAGAATGATAATGACCACAGGTGTTCAGGAACCACAGAAACAAGACTCAGTGTACTAGGAAGATGAACATGTTTCTAGAGCAACAGATAATGTCTAGACAATCTTGTTTTTCTCTCTCAAGGCATTTGTTGATTCGGAGCAAAGTCATAGGGTTAGACTTACCCAAGCCAAGAACATCTATTAAGGAAGAGAAGAACAGTTATGACATTATGCAGAGCTTGTATAACAAAATAAAAATTCACAGGGCCATCAGCAAAACCATGACTTTCCGTGTGGGATGTTTTCTGGGTTCTGGTGCTATCTGGGACACGGATGAACAAGGACAGAAGATGCTAGAGGGAAGAGTCAACTCTCCCACAGCCTTGTGCTGGGAAGAAATTTGGTATCAACCTCACCACAAAGCCAAACTGCTCCGAATGTCTCATGGAGGAAAGAAGGTAGAAGGTCGGAGTCGGGGGATAGGCAGCAACTAGTGTGCACTTTATGAGGAAAAACTAGAAATAACTTGTTATTCAAAGCAGGGACGATGTCAGGTAACAACAGAGAGGTGATGTAGCAGGTGCAGACCCTCAGATGACTGGCATTCTCAGTCAAGAACAATAGGAAGATATGGTTATTATATTTGAGAAAGCAGAGAGGGAAGGACAAAGGGAGGCAAGTGTGCATGATTTCATTAGGATAGACACATCTGTAGAAAGGAGCTAGGTGGATATTTTATAACTGAAACATTTATCAAAGCTCAAACAAGATTAGCACAAAATGAAAATTATGGTGAAGCTACCTAAAATCAAAGCCATAAAATTGTTCCAGTATTTGGTAAGAGGAGAAACTAATTTCTTTTACTTTTTAACATTTATTGGTTTTTTTTTAACTTACTTATTTGCAGGACTGGGAATTGAATGTGGGGATTGACTCATGCCAGGTTTATTGCCTTTAAAGAAACAAGCAACAACACTGGAAACTCACTTCATCAAGTTACGAAAGCCAGAAAGCAAAGGAGCATCACTCTTTAAAGCTTGAAGGAAAATATTGGAAGCCCTAGGATTCTGTACCCAAAAAAATCATCCGAAAATGAAGATGAGGGATGGCTGGATGGTTCAGAGGTGAAGGTCCTCGGCCCTGAGCTGGACCACGTGGGCTTGGTTCTCTGAACCCATATGGTAGGAGGTGAGAACTAACTTCAGCAAGTTGTCTTTTGATTTCTACATCTGTGTTGTGGCCCAGGCACACACACACACACATACAGACACATTTGCATGAACACATACACATGAACATATACGCAAGTACACACATGTATTTATATGTACACATTTATATACACAGTTACACACAGTAATACACACATACACTGACCTATATGTATACATACACTCACATACATGTTAAGTAAATGCAAAAAAAAGAATGGGTAAAATACATATTTTTAGTCAAAAACAGGCCACACTAAGGAACTCTGAGCCAATTCCTCAGGCCCGAAGAAAGTGATTCCAGATGGAAACGTGGAAGCACTGGAGGAAATGAGGAAAAATATAATGGGAAAATATATGGAAATGCAAATAAATGCTGACTGCACGAAACAATAATGCTAGTGTCTGCTGGAGGTGAAATGAGACCCTGGGATAGGAATGCATGACTGTGACAACGGGACTGACTTAGCAAATGGGATCTCAACATTTCAAACAGTATCAGCAAGGAGGAAGGGAGGTGAGCACGTCAACACTCAAAGACCAGTGGTTCGCCTTCCCAACACTGCGGCCCTTTAATGTAGTTCCTCATGCTGTGGTGACCCCAAGCCTTAAGACCATTTCATTGCTACTTCATCACTGTCATTTTGATACTGATATTAATCCTAATGTAAATATATGATTTGTAGGGTAGCTGATGTGCTATCCCCAAAGTGGTTGAGACCCACTGGCCGAGAACCGCTGAAGTCTAAGACGTAAAGGAGCCTATTGTGACCCCAAAGGGAAAAGTAAGGTAACTTAGGAATCAATAAGTAAACAGAGGAGAATGTGGATTAATAAGGAACACTTCAGCAGGAAATAGGTAGAGAGAAAAGGCCGTCACTGGGAAAGAAGTAAATTGATGATCACATGTAAGGTCAGACCTACCCATAATTTTGTAAATTATAATAAATAAATATATACAATATTAATATAATAAATAAAATATAATACTAAATACTCCAGTAGTGAAAGACATTAATAAAAACAAATACATGATACCAGGTAAAGTTTTAAATATAAAAATCATAAGAAAACATGGTGACAAGGACACAAAACTGATCTCTCTATGAACGTATGCACAATGATCCTATATGAAATATGAACAGGGAGATGCAGTAACCTGGAGAAGAATGGTGCATTGCACTAATCTGGGCTCATCACACATTCGTGTAGGAGAAAATGGATGGTTATTGCTACACATGCAGGGGATGTCTGTATATACCTAGGATGCAGATCAGAAACACTGACTGATAGTCTATGTTTTAATGAGGAATGAGGCTGAGTTTATCCTGAAAGAACACAGAAATGGAGAGGCTACTGTGTTTTCTGTATCAAGATCACTCTGGATGCAGAAAGGCTCTCTTTCATGGGCAGTGGTAATGTGTAAACAAACTCTCTTTCTGCTCTCTTGCTGGTTTGGCCAGCAGGAGGCGTCAGCAAAGGTGAAGAAGGCCTTTGTTCCCTTCTACAGTACGCTCAGGTGTGGTGACCTAACTCAAGGATGCAGGGCTTCTTAGACACAGCATGGCTTCCAGACACTGCCCCCATGACATCTCCGTTAGGCCTATTAACAACAATGGTCCCCTTTTCTTGTCCTAGGTAATGAACATCCCTGGGTAGTTTCCCTAAACTGGGTAGTTTTTCCTAAACAGCTTTCTAAATTATTTTTCCCAAAAGTTTCCTTTAGCGCTGTGTGTGCCAGGTTTTCTGCAGGACCCTCACTAATATCCTCTCAGTCTTTATCCCCACTCGGAACACTTGCCACCCCAGCGTACACTCCTACACTTGGCAAGTGTCACCACCATAGACACCCAAACCAGGTGTCCACGTGACGTCCGGGTTGTTTGTTTTCTCTCTCTCTCTTAACATTCGCTGTAATATTCTATTTACATTTTCCAGCAGTTCCTGGTGTAACATCCTTCTTCCCCTGTATAAGTGCCAGGCCACGCTGCCTTGAAGTGTACCACAGAGCACATTGATTACTTAGAATCCTTTGCTATACCTCCCTCATCTGATTTCACTCGACAAGTTCCAGAGTACAAACTCCTTGTAGAGTATATAGCTGCAGTTATTCTACTTTTTTGTTGAATACTATTGCCTCTCTCTCCCATACATAGTTTATAAGTTCAGCTTGGCTGTAGGTGCTTCTGCGTAGGGAAAAGTAATATACCTAGGGCTTGACTACTCATGGTTCCAGGTGCTCATTGGAGTGGAACTTGGCTCCTGTAGATTGTGGGGTAAATACTCTCACCATTTTTTCAAGACAGAACTTCGAGATCAACTTCTCTGTGTATCCTTTTTTTTTCAACTTGTTTCAAATGCATGTAGAAGTCATATTACTTCTTGTATTCACCTCTTCATTGAGTTTCTGACACCATTTTCTGAGCTGCTTTTATTCACTTTTTTTTTTTTTTTATCTCTGTAGGAGATTTCAACCTCCAGGAAAGGGGAGGATTCACCTCTTTGGTTCAAAATGGAAAACACTGCAGTAGAACTGTGTGTGATACACAATGTTGGGCAAAGCCTCCTTTGTAAGATGACTGTTGACCAGGGACCCGAATGGAATGGGAGATAAAGTCGCGTAGGTAGACCAGCATGCTAGATAGAGAAATCTACAGTTTCAAACGCCCAGTGCTGAGCATGTGCTCGATGCTTTAAATGAATAGCAGGGAGGTCAATATGATGGAAAAACACAATGAAGAGACTCGGAAACAAGGTAAGAAACTAGCAAGAAACTGGAACTCTACTCAGGGAATTATAGTGAGCCTTTGGGAAGATTTGAGCAGAAGAAAACACAAGGCAATGAGTGTTTTGAACTGATATCTTCTGGCTCTGTGGTTAGACCATTTTTTTTTTCTTCAACAAGCAGTGACAAAGCAGGGGCAAGTGACCAACTGGTGCATGAATTCAGAAAGAGAGTGTGACAGCTTAGACGGAGAGGACATGTTGAGAAGTGTTGACCTCTGGGATTCTTCTGAAAGTAGAGATAAAGTATGAGAGATGGCTGGAGAGAGGGAAGGAGGGAAGGAGGGGTGAGCAGGGCGGGGAGAGACTGATGGCTTCCAGTCTGAGCACTTGGGAAAATGGGGCTTCCAGTCCCTACCATATGGGATGCAGCTGCCACCATCACTGCTGCCACCTCCAGCACCGTTATCATCCACAACAGCACTAAAAGGTAACAAATACTGGTGAGGGTGTGGAGAAGTGGGAACCCTTGTGTACTTAGCACTAAAATGGAAGCTACCGCCATGGAAATCAATGGCAATTCCTCAGAAAACTAAAATTGGGGTTATCATGGTGTCTAGCAATTTCACCTTCCAGTTTTTGTCCAAAATAATTAAAATCGTGATTTTAAAGAGATGGCAAAACTCCAGGTTCATGGTAGCATTAGATAACATATCCAAGATAAGAAAACAACCCTAAAGGCCCATGAACAAATGGGTGAATGAACAAAATATCTGCACACACACACACACACACACACACACACACACAGAGAGAGAGAGAGAGAGAGAGAGAATAGTATATAGATTTGAAAAAATTAATCTTGTTATATGAAATACCTAAAATAATCAAAGACAAATACGGAGAGTAAAACACTTGTCCTATGATCTGGAGAAAGAAAACAGGAGCTGTTATTCACAGTATAAATTCTTCATGATACAAGATGCTTAAATTCTAGCAAGCCTCATTACAACAAAGCTATATTTCCTGATACTGTGTTGTGTGTCTAAAATGTGGTAAGAATTTTAAACTACTTCATGAAGTGTAGTCAGTATGAAAGTGGGGACTCCTGTAATCTGTGACAAGAATAAATTTGGAGAATATTGTGTTAAATGAAGTAAGCTAAATACAAAAAGATGAACACTACATGACCTTACTCATGTATGGAAAAAAAATGAAATTCATGCCCCAGCCTGAAGCATGCATGAGCAGCCCATATATGGTGTTTCTGTTGAACTTGTCCATATTGGGTTTCATGGTCTAAGGTGATGAGGACGACTGGCCAGGTCTCTTCCTTGCTTATGTATGGAATCCTAGGAAACTGAAGACTTGATACAAGAAGATGGCTACCAGAGGATGGATAGGAATGTGTGGGTCCTTTCAGATAAGCAGAAGGAACAGATATTCAGATTTGTCACCCAGCAGGGTGACCCCAGTCAGAAATAATGTATTATAAATCTCCAAAGATCTAAAAGAATATATTTCAAACACTTCACCATAGAAATTACAGGTAAGTCAGATAACAGCTATATTAATTTATTGGATTTGATCATGCCACACTGACCACGCGGAGGGAACTATCACATCATGTCCAGTGAGCATATGTAATTACGGTTTGTCAATCAAAAATAAAATAAATGCAAGTAAGTGGGCAGAAGATACAACTGAAAATGGGTCCCCGCTGAGAGGAACTCAGCAGCTGTAGACACCACTGATTTGCAAAGCTCAGAGCAAGCAACTAGCATGGCAGTGTGGCCTCTCTGGCCCTAACCTGGCCAAACGGATGAGGTCACACTGTTGGTCCATAGCTGGTGTTCCTAAGCAGGCCCTGGAGTAGGACCCACACCTCTGCCTGCTGGCTTGCCTCGCCAAATTGTAAAGCTGACGTCATTGTTTTCTTTTTCTGTACCAGCCTGTCTTGTTCTTTGTCTCGCTGTCCCCGGAGCTCGGGAGTAATTGTTCCATCAGCGTTTCCCCTGTGTGTTTTGGATAGAAATCTGTAGAACGATGAGTTTAGTATCTTGCCTCCTTTTCTCTTGGATACTCTTCTTTTGTAAACTTAGCGTTCTGAATATTGTTAATTCTGTTTAAGTGGACTTGAAAAAGGAAACTTCAAAGGGGCCATTTGGATTGTTCTCAAATGCAGACAGCCACGGGATCCACCTAGGACTTGGGGAATCCAGTGTTGAAATGTCCGGGCCCCTTTCTTTCTCTCTGAGGGAGGTCTGTCATGAGTGTTTCCACTCCCTCCAGTGAGAACACACCAAGAGGTCCCCATGTGAAGCAAACCCAGCCTTGTACACATCTGGACTGTCTCCACAGCATGCCTGAACAAAGCGTCTGCAAGAGGGCCTATGTGCCAGAGCCCCGTAGCACGTGTGGTGCAGAGCTGTTCCTCGGGTGAAGCGCTGAGCCGCCGGTTAGGCTACCTCGGGACAGCATCAACCTATTTCACTAGCGGAGCGTAGGTCCATGAAATCCAGAGTTCCTTCTCCTGCAAACCAGGCTGCGAGCCGGAGACGCCACCTGGCTCTTCCTGCGAGATAGCAATTCTAAATGCGATGAAACATCTACCCAACCTCCATCTCTTTTTTTTTGTCTCCAGCTTCCTGGTGGGCGTGCCCAACTTGGCAGCCAAACTGCACGTCTCAGTGACGTCATCTTCCAGGTCCGCAGTGCCACCCTCCTGGGCCTCCTCTCCCCTGTGTTTTTAGGTGACAGTCACTTCTTAGGTGCTAAGCTAAAATAAGCAGCATAGTCTCAAACAGAGAAAGGCCATGGAAGAGCTTTCCTATCCTGCCGCAAACCCTGCTGAGTTTCACAAGGGGTTTATCTGTAAGTATCAGGAGGCTGTAGTCTGGACTCAGGCTACTACCATAGACCATGGGTGAAGCCAAGAAATAGGGGCAAGCATTTCAAAGGAAACAAGGAGAAGTTCATGGAGACTGCTTTGACACAACCATTGGTGACGAGAGAATTGGAGCTGGCTCCTCCGCAAACATTATTACGCAGCCTTTACCTGCAATACAGTTCTAAGGAGTTCACTAAATAGCTCCTTTTAATGCATTTGGGCCCTTCCACCATGGTTGACTGACTCCATTTTGTTAGGCTTTGATGTAAGTGGCTCTGTTTCGTACCAGCAACTTTGACAAAAATCCCTGCATTTCAAGTGTGCCTTCTCCCCGGAGTTTGGTTGCCGCGTTTAGAATTGTAATGGCGTCCATTCTTAAGGTGGCTGTGGTAGATACACAAGTGGTTTTGGCAGGAATGGATTGGGCTATTTCTTCCAGGTATGGTTGCAGACAGAAGCTGTACCACGACAGTTACAATCTGATCCATAACGCATTGCATCCATAGGGGACTATGACCACTGTGGCCCTGTGATCAGATTCCCAGTGGGACGAGGTTGGGTTGAGTGCTTTTAATTTTTCTATCTATTTGCTCTCCATAGGGTAGCTTTAAACAGTTGTTAATCTCAGAAGATTAATGGCCTCAAAAAAAAAAAAAAATGTTGGCTCAATGGAGTCTTATTGTCTTCGGTTCCCACAGAATAACTTAGCCATTACACCAAGAACTCCTGCTTACTTAAGCTTTTATAACTAGCCTGTGCCTTCATAGGTAAACATTTGGTTTTGGTGGAGATTGCGCCATCCACATATGATCATTGTGTGTTGAGAGGATGGCTTTCTATGACCCAGCTGCCCACTTCTAGGTCTGTAGCCAAAGGAAACAAAATCAACACATCAAAAAGATCCTTGCAGGCCCATGCTTACTGCAACCCTGGTCCCAAGAGTGAAGCCATGGAAACGGCCGAGCCCCTAACCAAGGATGAGCAGATAAGGAAAAAGCCACATCAAAATATACTGCTTGCCATTCTCAACAAATTAGTACAAATATTCGTGTTAAAATCTACGCATTCAATTTTAAGTTAGCTTTAACTGCTATCTTTTTTATGAAGTTGCCTACCTCTTGCATTGGTTAATAAAAGTCTTTGGGAATGATGAGGAAATCTCTGTGGTAAATCTCAATAGTCCAGTGAGCCTTGTATACTTGTTAGGAAGAACAGGCGTTTATGGCCTACAGTAGACAGGGCAGGCATCAATAGTCTGTTTACTGACCTTTTTTTTCTCTAAAATCAGGAAAATAAAAATTTTTACTTTTCAGATAGGTATTTTCAATTAACATGACTCTTCTGTAAGTCTCTCCCTTGGTTCCATTCCAGACCTCTAACCTGTGCTAAGGGACACGAGCTTCTGATTTTACTGTGTCTCCAAGTTCCTAGGAAAAGAGACAGCAAGAAATATGGCTCCATGTTATAATTAGAGCTAACATATATTTTTAAGAACTCACTATAACTAGTTCCTTTTTTTTTTTTTTTTTTTTTTTTTTTTTTTTTTTTTTTTTTTTTTTTTTTTTTTTTTTTTTTTTTTTGAGACAGGATTTCTCTGTGTGGCCCTGGCTTTCCAGGTATTCACTCTGTAGACCAGGCTGGCCTTGAAGTCACGGAGATCTACCTGCCTCTGCCTCCCAAGGAGTGCTGGGATGAAAGGAGAGCACCACCACCCTCCTTAAGTAGGTACATTCTTGATGGCCTCTTTTAAACCTGCTTTGCCAAAGAGCACACAAATTTGTATTTTTACCCCGCCGATGTGGAAAGTGAAAGCCTGTGAAGTTACTGGGGTGTGAGGCATGACCAGTACCTCCTTCTTTCAGGCTTTTCGCAAGAGGACGGCTCTCTGGGAGAGCATCACAACCATTTCCGCTTCAATTAGGAGCTGCAAAAATAAATGAGAGCATTCAGAACAAAAACACAAATGCAAATCAGCCACCGCCACAGGGACATGAAGTAAGCATTCTAACGTCTCAAAGCTCAAACGGAAAACTGCAGGAAGTCGAAGGACAGTCAGGGATGTTTTTGATTTCTATCTGGGATTCCGTACAGACGGGGGTTCCTCTGCTTGCTTGGGTACCACACTGTTATCCAGAGACCACAACTATTGCTGTTGGACCCTGTGCTAATTGTTACTTGCCAGTTATTTGAGAACAAGTAAGATTGTCCTGTGAAGATTATAAAACCTGGTTCTCTTTCATTGACCTTCAGGAGAGATTGGGATTTTCTGTGTTACCAAAGCACAAAAGTCCCTGAAACTCAATTCCCCCAAACATATGTTTATATGTGTACTTCAGGACATAAATATACATACATACACACACATATATCAGCACAAGTGGGTGTAGGATGATGTGGTTAGCACACAGATATACCTTCTGCCCTATGTGTGACAGTCTACTAATATGAGGGGCTCAGTGGACAGCAGGTGGTGTTTGAGGAGTTTATCCTGTATATGGTTGGCATGGAGGGCTGTTGTACAAGACAAACGCAGTATTGGACTGCCCAGCCTTCTGGCTCACTCAGTCTGTCTCAGTGTGTCTCAGGCTGCTCTCTCAGCACTGACTAGAATCTTATTCGGAAATCTAGGCAGATGCCTTCTAATTATGCATGCTCCATAAGCTCTGGGAGATTGATTGAGCAGACATATTAGAAGTATATTACCATGGAGGGCTCCCAATTATTCTGAGATATATACTGACACATTTTCGGTTCTAGCGCTGTAGAATTGGCAGAGCTTTAAGATTCGTGACTAGATCTTACCTTAAGTCCGCTGGGCCTAAGACACATGAATCTGACTGACAGGCTCAATGGTTGCTAGGATTTCACACTGTCA